GAGAGATCACAAGTAGATGGAGAGGCAGGCAGAGAGAGAGAGGGAAGCAGGCTTCCTGCCGAGCAGAGAGCCCGATGCGGGACTCGATCCCAGGACCCCGAGATCACGACCTGAGCCGAAGGCAGCGGCTTAACCCACTGAGCCACCCAGGCGCCCCAAGATTGGCCCCTATTTTAATCTGTTCCACCTTCAAATGTTTTCAAGTGTAGTGTATTGAAAGATTTGTCAATGGTACAGTGTCTCTGATTTTATAATGGCGATCATTGCGGAATTAATATTTCTTTTATAGAAATTAAAACAATTATTTTGGACTATGTCTATTTTGCATAAGTGAAATTTTCTATCAGAATTTTCAGAATTGACTGCATTGCCACCCAGCCAACTTTTAACTTTTTTTATAGACTTCATTAATGTCATTTACATTTAATATTTTCAAATATAAGTACAGTATAATCATCTTCCAGACATAGTAGACTAGAAGACATTAATGAGGAAAGTGTTTCTTCTCTTTTATTATATAAATCTATTATTTTCTAAATCCATGGAAGCAATGACTTGATTCAGCGAAACTTACTAAACCTTCAGATCTCTAGCTAAGAAAAAATAGACGATTTTCTTTAAATGCCAACTCTTGTAAATGTTGAGTTGGCTACAGAGAAACCTATCCTGATTACCAAAAGTAATTGCATTTTAAGCAACTGATATTAAAAAGAAACTTTTTTCCATTCAGAGTAATTATAAGTGACTGTCTACTTGTATTCAGTAAAGCTTGACAAATGAGTACGTAGTTAAATTATTTTGACATAACTGGGAACCCCATGTTTGGATTCAGACCTGCGTTCAAATGCGACTCCGCCTTTTTCCTAAATTACTTAGTCTGTCTCCTCCTACTTACAGTGTTAATCTTAGGATCCTGTTGCCCACCCTGAAGCTTGTTATGAGAATTAAACTAAATAACAAATGTATTCATTCATTGAATATTTATTGAATACCTGTTCTGTTCTAGGCATCACTCTAGGTACTAGGGGTATCAGAGAACACGACAGAAATCCCTGCTCTTCATTTTAATGGGCGGGACAAACAACCAAAATGCAAGCAAATAAAAAGGCAATTTTAAGTAGTGAGTGATACATTCTATGAAAAAAAATAAAGCCTGGCACATACAAGAAGTTTCTCCCAGCTTTTCGTTATAATTTTCGAATACAGCAAAGTCCTTGTCCATCTTGGTTCAACAATTAACATGTTGCTCTCTTTGCTTTATCTTTCTGTCCACGTACGTGTGTGTGTGTGTGTGTATCCGGGGGTCTGAGTATCTTGGTTTATTTTTTTCCCTCCAACCATTTGAAAATTAAGTTGCAGGTATAATTATAGAAATATAATAATATAATACAGTAATATAATGATAACAATTAGTCCCTAACTAATTTAACAAACATCTCTTAAGAATTAGGACATTCTTCTTTATAGTAAGTAGGGATTTGATGAATATCAGTTCTCTTTTCCTCCAAAGCTTCATGGAGAAAGCAGTCATGGCTCTCTGTCATAGCTAATCTGAAATGACAAAAGGATTTGTAATATTTTCATGTCATCCGAATATAGAAGGCCCTATAAAGTTTCTTTGGGAAGATATCTGATACATATTTACAGTTTTTTAAATTGGATAATAGATACTTTGCATGTGTGTTTTTATTACCTTACAAGTTTTTAATTCTTAAAGACTTAAAATAGGGCACTAGTTTTCATTTAAGCACCATGAAGAGTGGAAATGTACGTTTATTGAGGAATTATAACTGACGTAATCAGTTACGTGCTGTGCTGAGTACTTTCACATGGTATCTTATTTAGTCTTCATAGAAACTCTTCAAGGATGTAAAAATATAGAATACTTGTCTCTTAATATTACAGAAGAAAAAATAGTAGTAAAGTAAAAATGTTTACTTAATCGCACCTGGACTGTCAAGTGGGGAAGCAAGGATTTGGATCTGTATCTACCGGCTTCTGAAAACAAGCAATTTGGGGTGTCTGGGAGGCTCAGTTAAGCATCCTCCTCTTGATCTCAGCTCAGATCTTGATCTCAGGGTCATCAGTTCAAGCCCTGTGTTGGGCTGCACGCCCAGCATGAAGCCTTGTTAAACACACATACACACACACACACCCCAAAAACTTAAGCAGTTTCCACTGTGTCCTGTTGCATTGTAAGTGATTGAGTTAGTCATTCGTTTCTTTAGAGGACTCTGCTTTCAGAGTAAATAGTATGTAAAGTAAACAAGTATGCAAAAGAGTAAATAAGTATGCAAAAGGAGTGACTGATGTGTATTCCTTTTTAAAGAAATTTCTTTGGAGCCACCTTTGTGATACACCATGTTTCTGCCTAGCATTGCAATTTAAAGAGTATTATTCTGTTACTCCCTACATATATCTGCTTTCTCAGTCATGTTCTTTAAGTCAGGGCTGTGTCTCAGTGGTTCCCAAACCCGAATGCTCTTCACAGTCACCTAAGTTTCTGATCCTGTAGAGCTGGGATGGAGTCCCTGAATTAGCATTTCTAACACATTCCCCGGTTAGGTCAATGCTGCTGGTCTGGGGACCACACGTTGAGAACCACTGTCTGTCTGCCTCTGCTCTTCTCCCACCACAATCCTCATCTTGGTGCTTATCGCTTAGCTTAAATGCCCTCTCATCTGGGCATCCTTGACGTCTCATCCTTGACTTCTGTTTTACTGAAACTGTTGGTTGTTCTCATATGTCACTGTATTTAAGAATCACCTGGGAGACCTGTTGACAAAGTAGATTTCTTTTTTCTTTCCTTTTTTAAGATTTTATTTACTTATTTGACTGAGCGAGAGCAGGAACACAAGCAGGGGGAGTGGGAGAGGGAGAAGCAGGCATCCCGCAGAGCAGGGAGCCCAGTGTTGGACTCTATCCCAGGACTCTGGCATCATCACCGGAGCCAAAGGCAGATGCTTAACGACTGAGCCACCCAGGCGCCGCAAAGCAGATTTCTGATTGAACCCCGAAACACTGATGTCTACCAAGCACATTCAGTGTTAATGCAGACGATCCGTGGATAGCAATTTGTGAAATATTGGCTTACAGAGTTGATTATGTACTCATCATTGCCATGACTGTATGTCGTATTTGGCTAGGATTGTTTTTTTTACTGTAGTGCCATTTTTTGTTTGTATGTCTCTCTCCCACTAGAGTCCCTGAAGGGAAAGGGCTGTCTTAGTCATAATTATAACTTAGTGCTTAGCACAATACAGTGTTAACAAGCAACAGAGTGAGTACTGCCTGTGTAATCTAGCTATATGACCCTGGAGGATTTAATCTCTCCTAGCCTCAGTTTCCCCTTTTATGCAGTAGTGGTAGTAACACTTACATGCTATGGAAATTAGCTCTCAGGGTGTGTATAGTCTTTAGTGTAGTAATTTACATACATTATGTACCCACTAAATGGACACCATTACTATTTTGGTGATGGTTATGTTACAGAAGCAAAAAAATAATGTCTGAATTAATGAAAACACCTAAATTATGATTTCACCATCCAAATTCAGAAATATGTGTTTAGCACTTCATTCAAAGTCTTTGCTTAATTGTCTAAAATACCATTTTATATTTTGGTATTTTAATGAAATAAAGTGAAGTAAAATCATGCTTTGGGCTTCTTCTTTCCCATAGGAAAACAAAGAAATCGCTTGGAACCAATGGATACCATATTTGTTAAACAGGTTAAAGAAGGAGGACCTGCCTTTGAAGCTGGATTATGCACAGGTACTGCTACTCTTCTTTAAACAATACTTTCAAATTTCTTTTCTACTTCATTTCGTCCTTCTTCCATATTTCATTTTCCGTATTTTTATCTCCTTCTGTATGTTTTTTTCCTGTGTCTTCACATCACTTATTACTATTTTTGAGACCTAGTTAGCTGTTTGTTTCTTGATACCCGAATGGGCGGGTTTGGACAGAAATAACTTAATATAAATTATAAATTAGTAGCACTTTTGGTTACCACTTAGATAACGGACTCATGGAGGCCCTTTTAAAAGCACCCGTTTTAACATACTTTGAATTTTGACAAGGATTACAAAATAACAAAATGATGAAGATATTTACGGACATAACTAAAACAATCTCGGATCACCAAGTTCTCAAAGTGCCTTATCTGCTAGAGGTGAATTAATTGATTTGCACTATGAAGAGTGACTTAGGTCTCCAGTGCGAGGCAAGCCCTGCTTCTTCCGTAGGGTTCCCTGGCTGTGGTCTGGTAGCTAGTCTAAAATATTCAGCGATACGTGATTTTAATAAAACCTGAGCAGAGATTTAATACACACACTAAAATAATTACTCTTTTGTTTTTGAACATTAAGTAATTTAAAGTGGGAATTAGTGAAAAACTATGTTTTACTGCCTTTTGCATAAAATGTAGTGTTTTCAGCTATAAATACTGTAAACAGCAGATGTTGTTGCTAAGATTTACTAGGATGTGTTAACTATCTCTTTTGTTGTGGTTCCAATCTCCGATCTCATTAACATATATATAATTCCAATCTCGTTCCAATCTCATTAACATATATGTAATATGTATATTAGCATCCATATGGGATTCCGTTACTTAGCACGTATCATGTATATTCTAAGCCTCACGAGGTCAGGAAGATCTGCAGACAGTGTGATAAGCACACAGAAGATACTTTTTATTTTTCTATTTTCCAGTTTTTCCTTATCTTTTCTCTCTCAGTCTTTTCCTTTCTGCCCCCCCTGAGTTCTTATTGGTAATCCAAATGCCCTTTTCTTTATTAAAATGAAGAACAAGTTAATACACATAAAGTCAAAACCATGTGCATACCCATATTTCAGTTTTGTAATATAGCACTATTTATAGCATATATAACATATGTGCTATATATGTATATATGTATGTATATATGTATGTATATATATACATGTATATGTTATATACAGGTAACATATATGCTATAATACAGCATATAGAAATGACAGGATAGACAGAGGAATAACTAGGAGTTCTGCAACTGAGAAAACAAATGATGGGGCATAAGAGTATACCCATGGTCACTTAGTGATAACTTTTAGAGTTTCTAAATTCATCATTGACAAGTGCTCTTAAGACATAGCTATATTTCATCAGAAGCTGTAAGTATTAAAATTTAGATTCATGTTTGTGAAAGACACTTTAAAAAACAGCGAGCAAGAATATATAGAAAATAAGTACATTACTCAAGGAATATTTCAAAAGTAGTCAGAAATGACCTTTAAGGAATTCCTCATGTGTTTTTTTTACTCCTCTTTGAAGGTGATCGAATTATAAAAGTCAATGGAGAAAGTGTGATTGGAAAGACCTATTCCCAAGTAATTGCTTTAATTCAGAACAGGTAAGATTCTCAAAATATGATTAATTTTGGCCAAAAATGGATATTTATATATCAGTGAAGCAAGCAGATTCAGTATAGTCTTGTCTATATCCTACAATGGGATGGGGAGCTGTGGGACTTTCCCTTCAAGTGGGTCAACCATTTGAGAATTGTCAAGGACAAGGACCTGGTTATAGCTTACTTGGTGCTTTGCTTCAGCAAATCTCTCAGATTTGTGATTAAAGTCCTTTAGAATCCAAAAGCAACATGTTTTAGATTTACCATAAATTCCTCACTTTTGCTTGAAATGACAATTAAATTTATAATTTGTTATAATAAAAGTATAAATAAATGCACATATATTTTATTTTAAAACCTCTTACTCAGATATCTTTATTGATATCTTATTGAATAATACTCTTATTATTGAATAATACTCTTATTGAGTAATATTCCTGGCTCAAATTTATTCATTTGTTTTAATAAAGACAGCAAGAAATTCTCTTTGAATTCATCTGTCTGCCTACGTGCTACAGAATGATAGCATTTTTGAGCTCTCAAAGTAAATAAATATGTACAGAGTAACTGGGAGACCTTAAAGATAACTTAGTCCTACTCTCTTTTTACCACACACCGAGAAAATTTTTCTTAGTTATAAATAAATAAATTGAAAGCCAAAGTGGTTACCATGTTGAATTCCTGTCAAGAGCAGGCCTTGACTGGGGTCCCATTGCCTGGATCATCCCATTGTAATTAAATTGAAGTTCATTATTTTCTGAAGACTTTTATGAAGTTCCTGTAATGATGTCTAAAACAGTTCATGCTATAATCTAAGTTATTTACCTGAATGCCCTAATGCATTATCATTTTTATAATTAGATGATGTGATTGTGATTTATTGCTCTCTTGAGTATTCTGTTTTAATATATAATGAAATTCTCAGAGAAAGCAAATCTTAAATCTTCCCTCTAATGTTGGATTCTAGGTGCTCCTGACAACGATCCCTATTTGATCTTAAGTATTGGAGAAAACAGGGAACTAATGAAGAATTTAAGGCCACCCCAGAGGCAGTGGGGAGATCACCCAAATTTTTTTTCCGTTTAAATAATTTAGATCCTCATAGATACACTGACATGCTTTATCAACCTGTAATTTAAGGATTTTTTTAGTGTATTTGTTAAACATCTCTTCTTGAAAAATAATATTTTCCCAAAGTAACCATAACTTACTCTTTGTTTTCCTCCAAGTCCACATTAATTTTTTTGTTACTGGTGCAGTTTATCTTTTGGAGTAATAACACTTTGGAATGACAGTCTTGATTTTTTTTCAGCTGATGAAGCAATTGGAAAAATAGAGAAACACTATTTTTTCATCATCTTATTTTCTTTTAAACAATTGTGTTCCTTTTGTCTACAGTTGGTAGCAAATGGATAACGCAGCACAAAGCCATTGAGATTCTGCAGGGTATTAATGTAAAATGTATCCTTGTAGAAGAATTTATCTGAACATCAGTTTGTATTTTCTACCAACTCCAAATATTGAAATACAAGTACCTACATATCTAATTATTATTATTTATTATATATTATTTATTATATATTAATTATTATTTATTATATATTTATTATTATTTATTTGAACCTGTGGTTCTTACGGTTTACTATTCTGAGCATTTATGAACCTGATAAGGGTTCAAATCTAACAAAAAGTGACACCAGTAAAATTATTAGGTTTTGTTTTCTTTTTTGTTGTTTGGTTGTTTCTTTAATCTCTTGATTGTATTGGGGGAAGAAAAAGCTAATTGTTAGAGTTAGATACTGACTCACTTAACAGGGATAGTCCACTATCCTTGCGTTTTCCAAATATAATTCCAGATCAAGACTGGTATAATTTACCCCTTTGTACTTTTTTAAACCTCGAGAAACTTCTCTGTCATTTTTAACTGGACAGTTTATAGTACCAAAAGAAAGTGAGAATTTGAGCTGTTTCTGTAAAGGCTCTAAAATTAAGTCAGAGAAGAAATCAAATAGTTGAGATGCTGTACAGTTTTTTAAAATGAGTCATTTTGATAGTTTTGGTGGTGAACTCCAGTTCCCTTCACTTCTGAGGCCAAAAGGGACTATTTCAAAATTTAGATATTTAATGTTACTTAAAATGTTAAATTTGAGGGTTCTTTTGTTATTTCCATGTGAATGTATTTTTGACTTTATAAATAGTGAAAATATGTGGTAAAAATTTACAGCTTTTTCTGTGACTTGAATTAAAATAGTAAATAAATATATACTTAGGAGTTTTATTCCAGGAGTATAAGTAATATACTTCATGTTCCTAAATTAGAAACATGTTATAAAGAAAACTTGCCTACTTGAGAATAGTGCAAACTTATGTCAGTATGTGTTCTTTTCATTCATGATTAGCTTTATATATGAAAGTGACTTCTTTTTATTTTAATGATTTGGGCTTGAAAAATAAAGGCTTAAAAAAAATTAAACTCATAAGCAAGTTTAAAAAATCCTTCTGAGGAAACCATCTTTTTTTATGTCTTTTTGATACACTTTCACCTCCCCTAAAATAATTTTTATGTTCAATTTCAGTGATACAACATTAGAACTTAGTGTTATGCCAAAAGATGAAGACATTCTCCAAGTGGTAAGTTTTATTTACTCAAATATGCATTGTTCTATAGTCTCAAATGTTAATAAAGATCCTTTAAAAATGGAGGGGGACTGAATATAAGATTCTGGGAGGAAAAAAAAATCCTCCGGTTCATTTAGCAGAGTCTGGGATTCTCGACATTTTACCAAAAGACAAATGAACAAACAAAGAACTATTGACAGTTTTTACAATTAAGTGACATAAGAATGTTGTATGGGTTTGACAGTGAGCTTCTGTTGTTGCCATTTGGAATGAGATTCCTAATGAGTTTGCCCCGATGTCGCATCTTAGGTAGTCCTTTGAGCAGAAGCCAAAGCTCAAGGTACAAGTGTATATCCCCAGGAATTAGAATCTCTTTTTTTTCTGATGAGAATAGAAATTTTATGAAAGCCATTTCTTAATTTTTCAATATGTATGACTGTTTGTAAATTAACCCACCAAGCAGTTTTGGAACAGTATCAGTTCATTCTATTAGAAGTAAGGTTCACAGTGAACGAGTCTGTACCATAAGGGAGCAGTCTGTCAGGGTCTTCAAGAGGAAATGAAACTATACTGAAGATTTTAACATTTAGCCTAAATTTTTCCCTCATTTTTAGAAAGAAAATTTTAGAATCCTTGACTCCTTTGTTGAGCTTAAATATTGCTGAAAGTAAAAAGAAAGTAACATACATAAAATTCCATTCAAGAAAATAATACTTTTCTTCAGTTGCCTTTTGTTCAGTAGAATAAAACAGCATGAGCAAAACCTTTGAAATAACACATGAAAGCCGACCACTCGAACTAAGAAATGGCAGTGGCCACTGAAAATTGTGTTTTTTAAATTCTTTTTAGCAAATAATTTTTTTTTAATTCAAGTACAACAGGGAACTCAAGGAATCTTTGTGGTGAGAATGGAAATGGTAGTCATGGTTTTTTTGTGGTAAGCCATTAGTTTGACTTTAGTTCAACATAAGTTCTAAGTAATCTTCTGCAAACATTTCTTCACAGAAATAACATTAAAGCTGATCCTGATGATTCAGTGTATTGATGTAAAATATAATTAACTGAAATCCATGGAGATCTGCTTTGTGTTTTCAAAGCATGTGGATTTTATTTAGGAATGGCTTTTTAGGGCTAATGGACTATCCAGGGAGGGCTGATTTTAGGGCTAATGAATTATGGCATTGGGGAGTCTCAAGAAGGTGCAACTGTCTGGGGGGTGTTTTCCTGGGCATAGAGAGCTAGTTGTAGAGTACCTGCCCTGATAATTCAGCAGAATAGAGAGCCGCAGACATAACCACTGAAGGCAGCGGGAGTCACCAGATTAGAATTAGTTGAGGGAATCGACTCTGGTGTTTCTCCTACACAAAGGACTAGGAGAGGAGTCACAGGTGTGGGAAGGCTTTACCTTGAATCCTCGTTGGCAGTCCAATGACTCAAAGGCAGAATGCGCTTCCAAAACAGGACTGTTTGCTCATCTTCACTGGACTCTTGCCTTGCCGAGGTGAAGGCACCGGTGGGATATGCTGCTTACAACAGTGCTCATTTCACAGCACGGCTGGCACTGTCCTGAGCTCCTAGGGCAGGAATCAAGCCCAGAACTGCCATCGCAGCCCGCTGTGTGGTCGATGAAGAGCAGCGGCCCTGGAAGGAAGCATTGTCTAATTTCGTGATCAGTGGGAGAGAAGGTTAATTCGTCTGTTGTGTTATGTTTTAGTTAAGATATATTTATTTCAAACAAAGGCAAAATACAAAGTGTTGCAAACATGGGAAAAAATTGGCTCGCTTGAGTGGCACAAACACACATCTTCTGAGTTCATTAGTAAAGGGGTCTAGTAAAATTGTGACAACATTTGTTTTTCAAACATGTTATTTGAATTATTTTAAATCTTAAGAGATTACAAGCATTATAAGATTATGCTCTCAATGATACAAGAAAATCTCGCTTTTAACCCCAGCCTTCATTCATATTTGAACGCACTGTAATTCACAAGACAATCAGAGGAGTGTATGTAACTAATGCCCACTACACATTGTTCCTAAAGGACATTAGGACTCGGAAACTTCTTTTCGGCATCAGTGGTGTTAGCTGGGACATCTATGAGGGTCATTTTTTTAAGGCTATTATGCAACACAAAGAGAATCTGGGATTTCAAAAACCATATGCAGAAATTCTTCCCTCTAACAGATTCTAGGGTTAAGATGTTCTGTAAGAGCCTTCAGTACTTATGTTGGTCTGTTACCCATAGGATGCGCTTTTAAAGACATGTACTGTGAGGTTGAATATTCATCGTAAAGAACAAGTAAACACGAACATTTTTCCGGCCGTTGTGAACGTTATCAAGTGGAGGCTTCTCGTAGTTTTTTTTTTTTTTTTTTTTTTTTAAAGATTTTTTGTTTATTTATTTGACAGAGAGAGATCACAAGCAGGCAGAGAGGTAGGCAGAGAGAGAGAGGAGGAAGCAGGCTCCCCACTGAGCAGAGAGCCTGATGCGGGGCTCGATCCCAATACCCTGGGATCATGACCTGAGCTGAAGGCAGAGGCTTTAACCAACTGAGCCACCCAGGTGCCCCGCTTCTCGTAGTTTTTATGTGTCAGTCTGGGCAACGGCAGGACCGTGTGTCCGGGACTTTTCTTTCCCTGAAATGGAATGTGCACCAGACAGTTCTAGAGGTGCTCAGCTCCTCTTTGAGAGGCGGCGTGGAGAATTGAATTTGGTTTAAAGTTTGACTTGTGTAAGGATAAGTATATAATAATAAATTTCCACTTACAGATGATTATGATATGATATTGAAAAATATGAAGTAAGATTAAGAATAATTCATTCTGGTACCACACTAGTGCTGGTAATAATGCTCCTGTTCTTGACAGCCTCATTTGCTAAATCAACATATATTTTCTAGATTAACAGTGTGAGTAGTATATTACGTTCATTTTTAGTCATTTTTGTATTTTACAACAATATTTTAGACTGTGATATCTTAGACAGTTTCATGTTTTTAAGGTACTACTACAAAATAAAAAACACTTTCTGTTCCATTTTCAAAGAAACAGAATGGTTTCCTCACCTTTTCAAATGTTGGCTGTGCATAAATGAAATGGCCACCACCTTGGGGTGCCTGGGTGGCTCAGGGGGTTAAGCATCTGCCTTCAGCTCAGGTCATGATCTCAGAGTCCTGGGATCCAACCCCACATTGGGCTCCCTGCTCAGCGGGGAGTCTGCTGCGCTTTCTTCCCCTCCCCACCCCCCGTTCCCTCTCTCTCTCTCCCTGAAATAAATAAATAAATAAAATAAAATAAATAGCCACCACCCATCAAGTCACCTAAATAGTGATGCTGACTAAAGAAAACCCTTCCTCGAATGGGCTTACGGTAGAACGAGAGCTGGCCGTTCTTTTCAGTGAACCCATCATAACATTATTGTTAAGCAACTGACTCAATGGACTCAAAGCTGAGTTTTCAGCTGATCAGCTCTGATAGCTGTAGAGATTCTTGGGCGTGTCTAGTGTTTGGCCGGGTCACCCTGAGCCTGCTTTGTGCTGTTCTGTGTCAGACACAGCAAGGCTAAACAGCTTTTCTAGGATGACAGAAAGAAAGCAGTGGCACCAGGATGTGACCTGAGGCGGGTCCGAGACTAAAGCGTGTGACTTTCAGCTGGACCATAGTCCTTTCTGCCATTGGGTACAGGTGAGGACTTAAGTGGCTTAGCACAGTCACCCTGTTAGTAAGTGCCAGAGCTCTTGTTCTTTTTTTTTTTTTTTTAAAGATTTTATTTATTTATTTGACAGAGATCACAAGTAGACAGAGAGGCAGGCAGAGAGAGAGAGAGAGAGAGGGAAGCAGGCTCCCTGCTGAGCAGAGAGCCCGATGCGGGACTCGATCCCAGGACCCTGAGATCATGACCTGAGCCGAAGGCAGCGGCTTAACCCACTGAGCCACCCAGGCGCCCCCAGAGCTCTTGTTCTAACTCATCTCTGGACTCTCAGTCCAGTGCTCTGCCACTCTGTAAATATGTCATATAAATTGGAAAATGTATTTTAATTAAAGTTTTTCTTAAGATTTATTAGAATTACTTTCAAAATAATTATTATGTGTATATATTATATATAATATATATATAACATTAAGTTCCATAATCAATAGATATTGCATTTAAAATTAGGTAACCATTTGTCAAGTGTGCATGAAGGTGGTCCTGCCTTGAGTAGGGAAGCAAGAGTAGGAGTTCTGGAGGGTTCTTTCATATTTTGCAAGTTTGTGTTTGCTTTGTTTGTTTTAAAATCAGTTTTTAAATAATTATAAGAATAGTTATGTGCTTGATAGAAAAGTTACAAATAATTTAGAAAGCTATATAGTAGGCACACTCTCCCCTTTTCCCACACCCCACATGGCATGTTTGGCATGTATTTTATTAGACAGACAGACATGTAATTATTTTTTATTTTATCGTAAGTAAGAATGGTATTAAATTAATAGGTCAGCCTGTTGAAGGTGAAACGGTAGGGAGGAATTTCAATCTTACCAACTTAGCTACTCTGCAGGGGTTTTTTGGTGGGGTTTTTTGGTTTGTTTTTACCATTTATTTGACAATAATTATGCAATAATAATAGTATTATAATACTAACAGGCATGATAATAGTGATTTTGATGCAACTCCACTAAAACCGAGCTTGAAGATTATTTTGGGACTAAGTTACTTTTAGATAACTGTACATACAATCAAGATCCAGACCGTTAATACTAAATTTTATTTAATATGCTCTTTACAATTTTAACTGCAAATGCAGAATTCTTTTTTTGCTTTTGAGAGAGAGAGAAAGGAGTAAGCCAGGCCGGGGACAGAGGGAGAGAATTTTTTTTTTTTTAAGATTTTATTTATTCATTTGACAGACAAAGATAACAAGTAGGCAGACAGGCAGGCAGAGAGAGGAGGAAGTGGGCTCCCTGCTGAGCAGAGAGCCCGATGTGGGGCTCGATCCCAGCACCCTGAGATCATGACCTGAGGCAAAGGCAGAGACTTTAACCCACTGAGCCACCCAGGCGCCGCCAGAGGGAGAGAATTTTAGGCAGGCTCCATGCCCAGCCCACCCAGGACTCCATCTCACAACTCTGAGATAATGACCTGAGCCGAAATCAAGAGTCAGACTAATTTTTTTTAAAGATTTTTTTTCTTTCTAGAGAGAGAGAGAGAGAGAGAGAGAGCAAGAGCAGGAGCAGGGGTAGGGACAGAGGGAAAGAGAGAGTCTTAAGCAGACTCTGTGCTGAGTGCAACTGAGGGCTCGATCTCATGACCCCAGCTGAAACCAAGGGTCCGTCCCCCAACTGACTGTGCCACCCCGGTGCCCTGAGAATGAGGAACTTTTAAACAGATAAACAGGCTGTTTTTTACTGCTCACGAACTGTGAGAATAAGGAAATTCAGTCATGCTCTTGAATGAATTCATGTTTTATTCATCTCAATTATATCTGCTTACATTAGAATACTGTCTGCATAGAATATTCTATTTAGTTAGTCTGCGTCAATGCATGGTTCCTGTGTGTGTATGTGAGGACCCACTTGACATAACCTTACTCAGAAATGAGTAATCAGAAATGAGGACCCACAAACATGGGCTATTTAGTATTTAGAGCTGTTATATAGGAATCTTAGAGATGTTCGAAGTATGCCAGATATCTTTTCAGGTTTTTCGTTGTTCCTGTCATATACCTTCCTTATCCCCAAATTTGAATAAAGGCAGTATCTCTAAATTATTAGTTCTAAAACAGTACTTCCCAGCAGAAATTTCTAGTTGTATGAAAACCCCTTAGAAAAAAATGGGTTTTGTGGCCGAATAAGCTTGTCATTTCCCTTTGAGTCTAACAACATACACAAATGCAGGAGAGGTTTTGAGGAGTCGGGAAGCCTGCCAGTCAGTCCTTCGCTACATCATGGAGCAGAGAGAGCGCTCTCCTCCTCCTCCTCCTCCCTTCCGGATGTTGCGTAATAAAATTGCACAAACACACTGTGGGAAATACTGTCCCAGAGTGTTCACTCATCCAGACACAATCTTCCTGGTGTGGAAAAGTCTTGGTGTGAATATAATCAGCATCAAAAAGACAGTCATGTTATGTCAGTGGCATATAACCCAAAATGTGTATTTTGACTATATTCGTGCCTTAAAGATATCACAGCACGCGTGCTTTCTTGAATCTACGCATTCAGCTTTTCCACGCATCCTGGCTTATGTTCTCTAATATTCACTATCAGTTTTAAAGAATTCCTCTGGAAGTAGTATTTTTATGTCCACCCAGTCATCATTGTCAAGCCAGTAACCCAGGACAGAAGGTACAGGAAAAGATCTGAATTTTTGAGTGAAACGTACTTAACGTACTTAACGCAACAGTCATCCTTTCTCTCCCAATCATCGTGTCCAGACAGCTGCAGTCAGCTGACAGCTTGTGGTGGTGCTCCGCTTTACAGGGGAAGGAGGAGGTTGTACTATTTTAAATGCATGATAGAGCATTCGTTTCGTCATCTGGAAGCAGAGCTGGAAGAAGCTCAGGGGAGATGAGAGACATCAATGTTGCTCTCGTGGAAGGGAAGCTTCGGAGCGCATCATCACACAGCAGTGCCGAGTGAAGGAAATAGCCGTTAGGAAAGCCTGTCACCACACGTATTTTGCTTTCAGAAATGGTAGACAGCCCAAATAAGAACCAGATAAAAGCCCGAGAAAAAGATGCTCAGAAGGATACTGAAGTTATCCTTTATGCCCCACTGCCCTTTACTTCTCTTGGTACCTTCCAGAGTAATCAGTATAGATGTATTTTTAGCTTGCTGTTTCCAGCATCAATATGACAACATGATTCTGTCTTTATATCAGTAAGCAGCTTCTACTATGTTTTCCTATTTTCTGCTAGCTACAGTTTACAAAGGATGTCACAGCTCTGGTAAGAAATGCACAGAAGCTATTTCCTTGCTTTTTTTTAAAGTTATGTTCTATAGAGATTTGTAATAAGCCAACCTATTAAAACTGTCAGTTTGCTTAGAGAAACCCTCCATAGTGTGATGTTAATCTTACTAATTTGTGGACTGTGTTTGTGATATCTGGTTTTCTTTATTTTTTTTTTTTATGTTTGGTTTCTTTTGAATCCTGTGCATAACTGGTGTTAAAACATAATAACATCTACCTATCTGTGGATTTTTTTTTTTTTTTTTTTTTTTTTAAGTATCTCGCCCTCTCTCTTTCCCTGGGACTTTGCTGTTGTGTGTGTGGCTGCACTTGAGCTTTGCAAGCTTAGATGTCTAACGCAAAGACAGGATATGATGATGGATGTGAATTAAGCTTGTTTTGATTAGGGGAGGATATGTAACATGATACCACACCTCAGTGTCTCAGATGCTGACCTAGTCCTCAGTTACTATCGATTAGTTCTGTTTTATTGCGTGTCTGTCTTTAATTTCAGTTATTTTGAAGTTTTGAAATACGTTGCTAGATAGTTTCATAAATAATAAATAGAACAGAATTTGAGCTGCATGCCTACCTGTTAGTAATAGAGAAATGCCTCCTCCCAGTAAGTAAAAGAGACCAAATAAATGTGTGCACTATAATTTTGCATTAGCTTAAAATAAAAAATAAAAATCATATACAGAAAGATGAATTACTTTTTTCATATTTTCGTGCCTTTACTTTTCATGCTTAATTTAAACATGCATGTTTTCTCTTATTTTTAAATATTCAAATATTTGAAATATTTGAATTTTAAATATTTCAAATATTTGAAATGTTTGGATATTTTAAATATTCAAATATGGCTTAGGACTTAATTTGTCAAAATGGCTTATTTTTAAGGACTAGGTAATCATTCATTGACAAGACACTGCTCGGTATGTCGCATTTAACTTGTGCTTACAGTAAAAATGTTTTTGGTTAAGATTTTTAATATCTTCACCCTCACTCTGGCAAAAGATCAAAACGTTCTTTTGCTGAGATTTGTAAGGCGGCCATTTAACCTGTCAAATGCTGGAAGATCATAAAATTTGAATGGGGAAGATTTTAGAAGCCAGGGCTATCTCTAATTGGCTGGGCGGAAAAACTGGTGTGTCTCCGTCTTTTGAGAAAACAGGCAGTTGTAATTAATTTCGTTGCAAATTCTCCAGTTTGATTTCTGAAAGGCTAGCCCTTTTCTGAATGTATGGCGCATCCTTACGTTGTGTTTGCATGCTTGCTTTAGCGAATACCACTTAGGAATAAGGTACGGCACCGTAAACCAAAACGGTCCATTGCAAGAATGGAAATTGTTGTTCTTCTTGTGAATCTTAAATGACCCTTTTTTCCTTTGCATGTAGGCGTATTCTCAAGATGCCTACCTGAAAGGCAATGAAGCCTACAGTGGCAATGCCCACAATATCCCCGAACCTCCACCGATTTGCTACCCCTGGCTGCCATCTGCCCCCTCAGCCATGGCACAGCCAGTGGAAGTATCTCCTCCAGATCCATCATTGAGCAAACAGCAAACCAGTACCCCAGTCCTGACGCAACCCGGCAGGGCCTACAGAATGGAAATACAAGTGCCTCCGTCTCCCACAGATGTTGCAAAGTCGAACACAGCAGTGTGTGTTTGCAATGAAAGTGTAAGGACTGTCATTGTACCTTCTGAGAAGGTTGTAGATTTGTTAACTAATAGAAACAACCATACAGTTCCTGCACATAGAACCGAAGAGGTGAGGTATGGCATGAACGAGCAGACCTCGCTGAAAACAGTGTCCAGAACCACTTCCCCACCGTCGATTCCCACCGCCCATCTCCTTCATCAGACTGCAGGCTCCAGATCATTGGAACCTTCGGGAATTTTACTTAAATCTGGCAATTACAGTGGACATTCGGAGGGAATCTCCAGCAGTAGACCTCAGGCTGTGGATTCGCCTTCCGTGTCTGTTAATCACTATTCTCCGAATTCCCATCAGCACATAGACTGGAAAAACTATAAAACTTACAAAGAGTATATTGATAACAGACGATTGCACATAGGTTGTCGGACAATTCAAGAAAGACTAGATAGTTTAAGAGCAGCATCTCAGAGCACAACAGATTATAACCAGGTGGTACCAAACCGCACTGCTTTGCAGGTACGACGTCGAAGCACCTCCCACGATCGAGTGCCCCAGTCTGTTCAGATCCGGCAGCGCAGTGTGTCCCAGGAGAGGCTGGAGGACTCTGTGTTAGTGACGTATTGTCCACGAAGTGCATCTCAAGGAGCCCTGACCTCTCCATCTGTTAGTTTTAGCAATCACAGAACTCGTTCCTGGGATTATATCGAGGGACAGGGTGAAACCTTAGAAAATGTCAATTCGGAGAGTCAAATGCCCGATTCAAATGGAGAACGGAAGCAGACCTACAAGTGGAGTGGATTTACTGAACAAGATGATAGACGAGGGATTTATGAAAGACCCAGGCAGCAAGAAATTCACAAGCCTTTTCGAGGTTCAAATTTTACCGTGGCTGCAAGCGTTGTGAATTCCGATAACAGGCGAATGCCCGGCAGGGGAGTGGGATCTGTGTCTCAGTTTAAAAAAGTGCCACCAGATCTAAAACCACTGCAGTCCAACAGAAACTTTCCAACCACTTGTGGAATGTCACTGCCTCGAGGCGTTTCGCAAGACAGGTCACCTCTTGTGAAAGTCCGAAGTAATTCTCTGAAAGCGCCTTCTACGCATGTCACAAAACCATCATTTAGCCAGAACTCATTTGTTTCTGTCAAAGACCAAAGACCAGTAAATCACTTGCATCAAAACAGTCTGTTGAATCAGCAGACATGGCTGAGAACCGAAAGTGCCCCTGATCACCAGGTGGAGCCCAGGAAACCCCCCTCTCTATCTGGAGCTCCCGTCGCGCCTGCCCCTCAGACCACTGAGAACTCGGGCGCCTTGGATTTAGAATTATCCGTCACTCAGAGAATTCAGGACTTAAATCTCCGAGAGGCTGACATTCAGGAGTCAGATACTTTAGATAATAGAGAAGCTGTCGTGCTCAGAGAGAAACCTCCATCCGGTCGCCAGACGCCACAGCCTTTAAGGCATCAGTCTTACATCCTGGCGGTGAATGACCAGGACACAGGGTCGGACACCACCTGTTGGCTGCCCAACGACGCGCGCCGCGAGGTCCATATAAAGCGGATGGAGGAGAGGAAGGCCTCGAGTACCAGCCCACCGGGGGATTCCTTGGCATCCATCCCGTTCATAGGTGAGCTCATGGGTAGTCCGTGGCTACTGTGTCAGATACATTACACATCTTTCCAGAAAGGTGGTCTTTCTAGCGCAACAGACACAAAAATTTTACTCTGATTTTTAAAACATTTGTCCTGAGTTTCCTGAACTGTGCTAAAACTAAAGCCATAAGTTTTTACCCTCAAAAATGATGTCAAGTGACAATTTTCCTTTTTTATTTTAACATTATCTACTCAATACCTTACTTTCTTTCCTTCCTTCCTTCCTTCCTTTCTTTCTTTTTTTTTTTTTTTTTTTTTTTTAATGAAACAGACTTCCACTGTCTGGGGCCAAGGGACCCAGCAAACCAAATGGTACCTAGTTGATGATCCTTCTGAATCAAAAGCCAAGTTGAATGGTTTTAATAATTAGTAATCAGTTTTTATTTAAACTGTGCTTTTGACTTTCTTATTTCCTATTTCTTTGGGCTGAATGAATAGACCTCTTCATTGTCAAGGTACTTTGTTTTGGAGTAAATCTTGGGATAGAATTGGAAAAAATAACTCAAATACAAGCATGTGTCCCAGTGTAGAAGAGCTAGTATGTCCCCCTAGGTTTGCGGCTGCTCCCACACACCCCAGGTGTACTCTCCACAATGCGGCCAGTGTGGCGTTTTAAAAATGGAAATCAGATCATGCCATTGCTCTGACCAGACCCTCTGTTTACTTTCCCCATCATCCAGGGTACAATTCCAAATCCCGCTGTGGCCTGCAGGGCCCTCTGTGGTATGTGCCCCCCCACCACCACTCCACCTCTGCAAGCCCATCTCCTGTCTTCGGCTGCCCCAGCCTCCTTGCACTTGTGGGGCACGCCAGGCATGCCTCGAGGCCCTGGCACTGCCACTTCCCAGCCCCGGGACACATTCCACTGAGAGTCACAAGACTCTCTCCCTCTCTGCATTGGGGTCTGAACTCAAGTGTGACCTTATCAAAGCGGCTGTTCCTCACCAGCCTGTCTACAGTAGGTAACCCCCCACACACACGTACACAGCACCTGACATCCTCTGTCCCCATCTGCCACTTTATTTATCTTCGGCTCACTTATTTCCGCTGGACATATTTTTTGTTTCATGTTTCTCTGCAGAGCTAGAATATAAGCTACCTGAGAGCCAGGCTCTTAGATCTTTTGTCCACTTTTGTAACCTTAGTACCCAGAGCACTGGCTGGCATATAGCAGGCACTCAGTAAATACTGGTTGAAATGATGAAATGGTGGGCAATGGTAATTTTTGAGATGATGGTTAAGTATATAGCAAAATCAAAAGAAGAGTTCTCAGGGTAGTTACTGTGCAACTCGAACGTGTAATCCGCTAACAGGCTTATCGTCTGTGTCCTTAGTATTGCCTTTATTTAATACTGAGAAGTTTAAGCTGTAGAGAGGTTAAATGACTTCCCTAAAGTGACACAATTAATGAGCAGTAGAGACTGACACTTGGCCGGCTGATTCAGCCTACTCACAGAGCTCAGCTCCACAGGGCACCATGTACATAGATGCATTGTGAAGAGCGCTCCCTAGAGTTGTGGGACACAGGGCCTTCTTTTGAGGCCAAGGCCTTACTTGTCCTCACCCCATTACCCTATGAGTTCATGAGGAGTTCTCCATAATCTTACAGTAGAGTGTGCTTCTCTTTGAGCAACATTTCAAGTTGCTCAAAGAGAAATTTTCTAAATACACTGAGCTTATTGGACTGTCAGGCAACCCTATCAAAGTCAGCTTTTGAGAAAGTTCTGTGTAACTTCTGTTTTTTATAAATAAGATATATGCAAGTTGTAAACATTTGTGGGGAATCTCAACCTAAATTGTAGTCATATTTATATCCATACCCTTAAATCTAACCTCAGAAAATAGAACTTTACCAAAAATGGAACCTTACACATCATCTAGATATTTTATAGAATTAACTGGGGACTAATGATTGTTTTATGCTTTTTTTAAGAAGAAAATAAAAGAACTTTTAGATTTCATTAAGTATCAGTTCCATAAAATAAAAGAAACTTTTAGTCAATAAAAGAACGTTTAGATTTCATTAAGTGTAAGTTCCATAATTTAATCAGTATTGAAATCCTTTTATTACTGAGCTTTAAACTGTTATCTGACCCATAGGTGTTTCTCTTTCCAATCTATTTTTTAAATTATATATATGTGAATATATATTATAACATATAAAATATGAAATTTTATTATATATATAAGTGGGATATAGGTATGTAATTTTATATATATATAAAACTGGGATAAGACATCAACATTGAAATGGAGTAAAAGAGACTGTGCAGTGTTTGCCGATATATTTTCTAGGAACATTAATTCCATTTGATTAAGGAGGAAAAAAAATTAGTGATCAAATAAATTGAGAAATGCTGGATTTAAATAGCTAAACAAGTTTTGTTTTTCTTTACCATGGGACGCTTAGAATCATAAACATGCTACTATGTATTTCCCAGATGTATTTTCTTTTTTTTTTTAAGATTTTATTTATTTGACAGAGAGCACGAGTAGGCAGAGTGGCAGGGATAAGGGAGAGGATGAGGGAGAATCAGGCTCTCTGCTGAGCAGGGATCCTGAAGCAGGGCTCGATCCCAGGCCCCTGAGATCATGACCTGAGCCGAAGGCAGATGCTTAACTGGCTGAGCCACCCAGGGACCCCCCAGGTGTATTTTCTAACACTATTTTTCACAGAAATATTTGACCATGAATCCTTTTATTTAGGGATCTCTGTTTAACATGTATCATAAAACACACTTCAGAGAATATAATTTGTGCTATCTCATGGAACATTTAATTAAAAGGAAAGAAAGTAGTTTTGCTTTTGTATTACCACATTCTAGAATCTTATATTCTGTGATTTTAATAATTATTTTTTATCATTTGGAAACATTCTAGATTAATGCAAAAAAAAAAAAAAAAAAAAAGAATTAAGTGCCTTGGCTTTATTCCCAAAATACCAGAGAATGGAGCCAATTCATTTGTTTAATCATTTATAATAGAGAGCACATGGTATATCTTACAGAAAGAAAATTTTCTAACATTTTGTTACACATTTAATGTCTAATATTTCTTTTGGTTCGCAAAGATTTAGAGAAATGAAAATAAACCATTTTATTTGTTTTTAAATTAGGAATCAGTCATTGGCAATATTTTCTTTACCCCCCACAGGCAGTTTATAATAGCTTCATAGTAAGTACTGAAAATAAATTTTTCCTTCTTTTATGAGTAAACACAAAACAAAATGAGTAATGAGTTCATAACTAATTTGACATTTACTAGGAGGATTTAAGATGTATTCTACAATCTGAACTTCCTACATTTCATTATACTACTCTTATAATTATTAATATAGAGAAACTCTAGCTGTATTACCCACACTCAGATTTCATTTCAAATTCATTTTCCTTCCTTTTTCTTGCTATTTTTTTGTTTTTTAATTTTTTTAAAATTTTTTAAATTTCTTGCTATATCTTTAATACTCTGTTCTTGTCTCAAAGTTGGCCCATATGCACATACTTAGCGTTAGCCTATGTAAAATTGAATTAGATTTGTACAGCCTTACTGGTCCTGCCTTTTTAAACCAACTTAGCGGGTTTAAAGCTTGTGAGATACATACCTAGATTACAGGATCTGAAATTTACCCAGCAGCAGTGGGAGTGGGTGAGTGTCCCCTTACACCCAGCTTCTCCCTATAGGAGCTCTAGTCTCCTAATGCCAGTGGTGATATTATGGGTGGTGCACCAAGTGCCCGGCCCTTCTTTTATACTAATACTTACTAAGTCTTTCTACAAAGCATCTGATCTATAAAGACAAAAATTATACTCATCACCTTACAGTCTTTTTCATCCACTGGCATTCCCACAAGATGTGATTCCATTGACACTTAAACTTTTTAAAATTTTTACTTCTATTGAGTAATGGGGTGGAGTTCATTTTTAAATACAATAACAACAACAAAATCCCCAAACTTCTGTAGTACTTTATAACCTAACAAGTATTTCATGTACCCATCCTTTTAACAGCCCGGTACGGAGTGTAGGTCAGGAGTTAGATGCTTATCCATAAAGGACCCACTTTATAAAGTTAAGTCGTTTGCTCAGGGTTTCTCAGCAGGTAACTGGCAGAGTTGATTCTCTGCTAGCTCGGAATCGCCTATTCTTTGGACAATGCCCTAAAAATGTGCTACAATTTAAATCCTGGCTTTCACTCTTTTAAAGCTAAACCCAGAAACTAATTCTACATGCAGTATTCACCATTCTTAACTCAGACTTCGTAAAATTGAATTAGCCTCTTTTCAGTAAATAAATGAATGTGTTCCGAGTTTGTTAACAAAGCTGTACTCCGTGGAATAATTTTAGATGCCCATTTACCTTCCTTTGGTAGTATCATTAGCTTTTATCCTGAACTATTTCAAATTTATCTACAGCACACCTTGTAGAATACTATACTGAATTATTTAGAGGGAAAAAATTTTTTTAACTTAGCTCTTGAAAACTACAGAATTATTTCCCTCAAGTTAGACTTTCTTGATTTTCAGCTAGTTCTTTCATGTTGAAAACAGCACTAATAGTAACTACACTCTCAGCTACATCTGGCAGTTTAAAAAAAAAAGGAAAAAAAAAAAAACCCTCAAAAGCCTCCTGACAGATCCCTGGTTTAGGGAAAACCTACAGGTATTTTAAATTACTACACAAATGATCATTTTTCACCCTTAGTGGATTTATTACTGTAGGCCTCTTGACCAGAATTGACCCTCCTGATATTCCTCGTCCAGTTTCAGGACTTTATAGGTAACGAACTCAATATCCAGGGAAACTGAGTGGCTTTCACACAGTCAAACAAGACAGGACCCCCTGCCCAGTCTTCCCTGTTCCTCATAGCTTGCTTCTTTTCTGTGTGAAGATTACTCATTTGAAAGAAAAATTGGTGCCTCGTGTTTATTGACTGTTTTTAAAGTAATTGTCGGATTTCTTGAAATGAATACTTCCAG